TTTTTTTTTTGAGATGGAGTCTCACTCTGTTGCCAGGCTGGAGTGCAGTGGCGCGACCTCAGCTCACTGCAATCTCCGCCTCCCGGGTTCAAGCGATTCTCCCTCCTTAGTCTCCCGAGCAGCTGGGATCACAGACACGCGCCACTGCACCCACCTAAGTTTTGTATTTTCAGTAGAGATGGGTTTTCACCATGTTGGCCAGGATGGTCTCGATCTCCTGGCCTCATGATCTGCCCTCCTCAGTCTCCCAAAGTGCTGGGGCTGCAGGCGTGAGCCACCACGCCTGGCCTGACTGTTGTTTTTCTTTAATCATGTTTCTTTCCTAGTATTCTGGTTGTCAGTTGATTGAATCCAAGGATGTGGGACCCACAGATAATGGAGGACCAGCTATATAAGCTTTGCTGCTTCCTTTTATTTTTACTTGCACACATTCGCACTTTTCTATGTCCCATGACCTCATTTGCTAAGTGACACAAAGGACAGAGTGGGGGCTTCCTCTGAGGCCTGCCTGCACCCCACCTTGAGACCTGAGTCTTGTCAGGTGGGGTGCAGGGGCGTCCCCATGGCCCTGTCTGACCAGCATCCCTGGCTTGCTCCACCCGCACAGGGGACTACCCGCTGGTTCCCGGCAGCAAGCTGGTCTTCTCCTCCTACCCCGGCACCATCTTCTCCTGTGATGACTTCTACATCCTGGGCAGCGGGCTGGTGAGTCCCCTTCTCGTGTCTCCTCCATTCCAGGTGTTTGCCACACAGCAGCTCTGAGCCGGCAGAATTGATTCCTGCAGCAAGTGGGGACCAGGCTGCAGCCCGGTGCTTGGTGCCCTGTAGGAGCCAGGGGTGCAGCAGAGGACGAGGGGGACACATCCCCCCGCCTGCCAATCAGAGCCCGGGCTCGCCCATCCCCTGCCCTGGGGACTTGGACCACCAGAAGGGGGTATTTAAGTGTAGACCCCCAGGCCCTGCACAGGGCCTCCAAAGCCTGCAGCTGGCCTGGGACTCTGCATGTAACCCTAGTTGTCAGGAAAGACTGGACTTGGGGATATTTGGGACTGTCCCTGACCTCAGTGACCGTGCTTGTTTTTATGTATTCAGGATAACTCCCCCATCCCACCCCGCTTCTCTCTCCTCCTGCCTCCCTCTTGCTTTCCCCAGAGCTCCTCTGACCTGACCAGGTTTGCTGAATAGAGGCTGTTTACAGTGTATTATTTTTATCTTTTTTTCCTGGCTGGGGTCCAGACTTGTTTAGAAATCTGTCCCTGGCATCCCTCGCTCAGTAAGTGAACTCTTTGATCTCCAGGGCAACGCTGCAGAGGAGAAAAAACATCACTTTAAAAAACACCCTTAGAGCAGAGAACACCCAGCTCCCTGCGGGGACGGGACGGGAGGGGACTCTTCTTGTCTGATCCTTTGCTTTTTTCTGAGTTTGGAACGAGGCAGGAGAGGGCCAGGCAGTGGGTGAGGGAACCCCTATGCTGTGGCCCAGGTGCGGAAGGGGACGGAGGCAGCTGGGGAGGAACAAGTGAAATGGTTCCACCTGGTTACCAGGAAAGGATCTGGGTAGGAACCTTCCCTTCCTTCAGGGCTCTAACTGTTTTTGTGCCACAGATTCCTTGGGCAGTCCAAGAGGTTGGTGACCCTCTTCTCAGAACAGTGCTCTTATTGTTATTATCATTTTGTTTTTCACAGTGACAGGGTCTCGCTCTGTCACCCAGGCTGGATGCAGTGGTGTGATCATGGCTCACTGCCACCTCCAACCTCCTGGGTTCAAGCGATTCTCCCACCTCACCCACCTGAGTAGCTGAGATTACAGGCCCATGCCACACTCAGCTAATTTTTTAATTTTTTTGTAGAGATGAGGTCTCACTATATTTCCCAGGCTAGTCTTGAACTCCTTGGCTCGAGGGATCCTCCTGCCTCGACTTCCCAAAGTGCTGGGATTATAGGCGTGAGCCACTGCACCCGGCAGAGTAGTATTTTTCGATGGATAAACTAAAATGTGTAGGATTATGCAGGAAACCAGTTATAGTGAAATACAGCTATCAACATATAAGTAAACTTTTAAGTAACATACTGAATAATAAGATCCAGCAGCAGGTATGGTAAATAAGTTAGAAGAAGCAAGGTGCATGAATGATACTTTAAGATATGTACAGCCTTGTAATCTGATGGAAAAACATCTGCGATTTCTGATCGTGAAAGTCTCAGTGACTGCTAATACCATTGTGGTGTGTCATGTTAACAGTGGAAGAAAATGCCAAATTTCAGGATTTTTTTTTTTTTTTTTCAGAGATAGAGTCTCATGCTGTCAGGCTTGAGAGCAGTGGCATGATCATAGCTCACTGCAGCCTCTGTCTCCCCAGCCTCATGCAATCCTCCCATCTCAGCCTCCCAAGTGCTGGGTCTGTAGTTGCCCGCCACCATGCCTGGCTCATTTTAAAATTTTTTGTAGAGACAGGGTTTTGCCATGTTGCCCAGGCTGGTCTCGACCTCCTGGGTTCAAGCGATCTGTCCCCCTTGGTCTCCCAAAGTGCTGGGATTACAGGCAGGGGCCACTGTGCTCAGCCTGGATGTCCTCTTTAAAGAGAAGAAAAGGATTACGCCTGTAATCCCAGCATGTTTGGAGGCCGAGGCGGGTGGATCACAAGGTCAGGAATTCAAGACCATCCTGGCCAACATGTGAAACCCTCATCTCTACTAAAGAAAAAAAAAATTAGCTGGGCATGGTGGCGCACATCTGTAATCCCAGCTACTTGAGAGGCTGAGGCAGGGGAATCACTTGAACCTGGGAGGAGGAGGTTGCAGTGGGCAGAGATCGTGCCACTGCACTCCAGCCTGGGTGACAAAGCAAGACTGTCTTAAATAAAAATAAAAATAAAAATAAATAAATAAATAAATAGGTAGATAGAAAAAAATCACATTTATGGATACGGCCATCTTTTAGCTTTTTTCAGCTTCTTTTTTTTGTTTGTTTTTTGAGACAGGGTCTCGCTCTGTTGCCCAGGTTGAAGGGCAGTGGCGCGATCTGAGCTCACTGCAACATCTGCCTCCTGGGTTCAAGTGATTCTCATGTCTCAGCCTCTGAATCGCTGGGATTTGCATGAGTTTTGTTTTGTTTTGTTTTTAACTCACAAGAACAAGGCTTTACTTTTCAAATATGCTGAAGACAGCCAAGCATCCCAGGAGATGGAGAAGGGGGAGGAGGCAATTGGAGGCAGCAGTGGGCATCCTGCCTGCTCCAGGACTGGAGGGAGGCTGAGGGTCTCTCCTGTTGTAAGCCCTCCTAGGCCTCTGACCGCTGGGTCTGCCGGGCTGACAGCCTCAAGCCATGCAACCTTTCCTGCAGAACTGTGGGGAAGGGCGGGGGGCGGGGAATGGGAGGTTGCCCAGCTTGGTGAGGGAGTGGGTTCATGGGAGCAGCTCTTTTGGCTTCTCAGGGGCTGTTCCCCAGGGCAACGCTAGATGCATGATACCAAATCCCACTCTGTGCTTGTCTAAGAAACCAGTAAGGAACATGTGCCTCAACTGGACATGAGTTTTTATTTTTATTTATTTTTTTGAGATGGAATCTCCCTCTGATACCCAGGCTGAAGTGCAGTGGCTTGATCTGGGCTCGCTGCAACCTCTGCCTCCCGGGTTCAAGTGATTCTCCTGCCTCAGCCTCCCCAGTAGCTGGGATTACAGGCGTGTGTCACCGTGCCCAGCTAATTTTTGTATTTTTAGTAGAGATGAGGTTTCACCATGTTGGCCAGAGATAGTGTCTCACGCTGTCATGCAGGCTTGGGTACTCATGGACATGAAAATGGCAACAGTAGAGCTAGGGGCTGCTAGAGGCAGGAGATAAGGAGTCTGGAACCCCTGACCTCAGGTTATCCACCGCTTTGGCTTCCCAAAGTGCTGGGATTACAGACGTGAGCCACCACGCCCGGCAGATTAAGTATTTACTGCCTGTAGTCTCAGCACTTTGGATGGCTGAGGTGGATGGATCACTTAAGGTCAGGAGCTCGAGACTGGCCTAGCCAACATGGTGAAACTCCGTCTTTACTAAAAATACAAAAATTAACCAGGCGTGGTAGCACGTGCCTGTAATCCCAGCTACTAGGAAGGCTGAGGCATGAGAATAGCTGCTTGAACCTGGGAGGCGGAGGTTGCAGTGAGCCGAGACTACACCACGGTACTCCAGCCTGGGCGACAGAGTGAGACTCTGTCTCAAAACAAAACAAAACCATTTAATTTATGAGCAGTGGCTGATGAAGTATGGTCACTTGGTGGCAGCATGCCTAGGCTGTGCAGCACCCCCCTTGACCTTCCCACAGGTTACACTGGAGACCACCATTGGCAACAAGAACCCAGCCCTGTGGAAGTACGTGCGGCCCAGGGGCTGTGTGCTGGAATGGGTACGCAACATCGTGGCCAACCGTCTGGCCTCAGATGGGGCCACCTGGGCAGACATCTTCAAGAGGTTCAACAGTGGCACGTGAGTGGGCGTCTGGCCCTGTGGCTTCCCCTGTACCAAAAGATAGATCAGCCTCCGCTTTAACACTCAGACCCTGGGGGATCAGATGTGGCACTGGGTCACACACCCCACACCCTCCTCTGTTTTATACATGGGGAAACTGAGGCTAGGGAAGGAAAGGATTTGCCTCTCCTCTTCAGGCTTCTCAGCCCAGGAAGGGGTGCCTTGTGGCAGTACAGGAAGAGCACTTGGAACCTGAGGACTCTTGAGGGGACAGTGGGGAGGGCTGTTTGAGGAGGTGGATGTGGGTGGGTAGCAGGGCCTGTAAGCTGGAAGCACTGGAACTGGGCAGTGCCGGTCTTACAGCATCCAGCAGAGGAGCTGACCTAGGGAGCCATAGAATATTCTGGAACAGTCAAGCAGCATGATGAAAGAGGAGTTTGTGGACGCCTGGTCATGCTGCAGTGTCAGGGTGTCAGTTGAATGGCTGGACACCCCCAGGCCCACTTCCCTTGATTCCTAGCTGTGTGGGACACTTTGGGGTGGGGGAAGCTGGGGAGGTGGCCCCAGCTCTGTTCAGTCCTCCCTCCCTGTGCCTGGCAGGTATAACAACCAGTGGATGATCGTGGACTACAAGGCATTCGTCCCGGGCGGGCCCAGCCCTGGGAGCCGGGTGCTCACCATCCTGGAGCAGATCCCGTGCGTAGCCTGGGTGGGAGGAGGTGGGGCTCGGGGCAAGAGGACTGCCAGGGTGAAGGCCTGGAGCTGTGCTGGCGCTGTGCAGGAAGGGGATGCTCTCAGGCAGGCGTGGCTGGAGGGGACTGAAGTTCGAGACTTAATCCATCCCCCAGGCAATGGGAGCCATCGGGGTTCCCCAAGCAGGGCCGTGCGCATGGGAGCCCCTTTTCTGATCACCTCCACCCCATCTCTCTTCTCGGTCTCAGCGGCATGGTGGTGGTAGCTGACAAGACCTCAGAACTCTACCAGAAGACCTACTGGGCCAGCTACAACATACCGTGAGTGCCTTCTCACCCCGCTCCCTGTCACCCTCCGTGTCCGCCTCATTCCTTGCCCACCTCCTTCCTAGGTGTTATTTTTAAACCCATGGAATGAAGAAGCCCAGCCTACCCCTTTTTCTGGCCAGGGGAGCCCAGACAGCTTGGCAGTGTAGTTTCGTGGCTCAGGTCAGCAGCAATGTGAGCGCTGGTTCTGACGCCCAGAGCAGGGTGGTGTGAGGTGGCCAGGCTCAGGGCCTGACCCCTGCCAGGGTCTCTGGCTGGATCTGGGCTGTGCAGCCATCACCTCCTGAGGCTCACTCTCTTTACCTGCGTTTTCTCATTTGAATCTTGCAGTGGCCACGTGTGGTCACTAGAGCTCCTGCTCCCATCTCACAGGTGATGATACTGAGGCCCTGAGAAAGTTCCTCACTTTCCCAACCTTCCCTGTCGGTGAACAGTGAAGGCAGGATTTGTTTTTACTTTTTTGTTTGAGACAGAGTTTCACCCTGTCATCCAGGCTGGAGTACAGTGGCACAATCTCAGCTCACTGCAGCCTCTGCTCCTGGGCTCAAGTGATTCTCCTGCCTCAGCTTCCTGAGTAGCTGGGATTACAGGCACCCACTACCACCTTTGGCTAATTTTCTATTTTCAGTAGAGACATGGTTTCACCATGTTGGCCAGGCTGGTCTCAAACTCCTGACCTCAAGTGATCTGCCTGCCTTGGCCTCCCAAAGTGCTGGGATTACAGGCGTGAGCCACCACATCCAGACTGAGGGTAGGATTTGAAGCCATGGCTTTTGGGCCCCAGAGCCCAAGCTTGGCCGCCCCACCAAGCCACTCCCAGCACAAATGAAACTTATTGTTATCCTGAATGTTGGAGTTGTTTTTGTTTGTTTGTTTTTTTGAGATGGAGTTTTACTCTGTCGCCCTGGCTGGAGTGCAGTGGCGCGATCTCAGCTCACTGCAACCTCCTCCTCCCAGGTTCAAGTGATTCTTGTGCCTCAGCCCCCCGAGTGGTTGGGATTACAGGCATGCACCACCATGCCCAGCTATTTTTTTTTTTTTTTTTTTGAGACAGAGTCTCACTCTGTTGCTGAGGTTGGAGTGCAGTGGTGCGATCTCAGCTCACTGCAACCTGTGCCTTCTGGGTTCAAGTGATTCTCCTGCCTCAGCCTCCCGAGTAGCTGGGACTACAGGTGTGCACCACTGCTCCCAGCTGATTTTTGTATGTTTAGTGGAGACGGGTTTCACCATGTTGGCCAGACTCGTCTTGAACTTCTGACCACAGGTGATCTGCCCGCCTCGGCCTCCCAAAGTGCTAGGATTCCAGGCCTGAGCCCCCGTGCACTGTCCAAATGTCATAGTTGTAAGGGATAATGTCCTCGTGTGACTTCCCCTCCCCCCCCCCCCCGGCCACAGCCTTGGCTGAGTGAGGCTAGTGGGGGTCATGGGTGACCATCCTTGTCCCTGGCAGGTCCTTCGAGACTGTGTTCAACGCCAGTGGGCTGCAGGCCCTAGTGGCCCAGTATGGGGACTGGTTTTCTTATGACGGGAGCCCCCGGGCCCAGATCTTCCGGCGGAACCAGTCACTGGTGCATGACATAGAATCCATGGTCCGGCTGATGAGGTGGGTGCCGGTTAGGCGGTGGGCTGGGGAGAGGGAGGCCATAAGCACACAGAACTTTCTGTGCGTTTTTTGTACCAACTCATTCAAATGTTGCCGCCAGCCCTGGAGGGCGAGCAGTGGGTGGTCAGATGCTGAACGCCAGTGCAGCTGCTCGGGGGCCATGCTCCACTTGGGTCCTGTTACTGTCCTCGTAGCTAAGGGGAGGGTGCTGGACATCTGTTGAGTGACCTCTAGTGCTGGGCACTGTGCTTGGTACCAGGAGCAACAGGTAGAAAACCTGTGCCCCACTGTCCCGTCTCCTGGGCGGTGCAGAAATTCATCAAGTGCTTGCACTGATGTCGATGTGTAAAGACGGCACCAAGAGAGGCTGTCTAGGGACAAACGGGTGCCTCACCTGGCTGGGGCAGTGGCATGGAGGCCTTCCCTGAGGATAGATGTCTGAGCAGAGAGCTGAGTGACTTAGGTGAAAGGTGTCGGGACCTCAGGCAGAGGAACTGGCGGCGGCAACCTGGGGTGGGAGGGACAGGGCAAGTTGAAGTCTGGTGGCTCTTATGGGGCTGCCCGTGAGGGTTTTGGCCTCTGTCTTAGCCTCTCCTTCCTGGCATGACTGTTGTTCCCTCCTTCCCCCATTCAGGTACAATGACTTCCTCCATGACCCCCTGTCACTGTGCAAAGCCTGCAACCCCCAGCCCAATGGGGAGAACGCTATCTCGGCCCGCTCCGACCTCAACCCGGCCAATGGCTCCTACCCTTTCCAGGCCCTGCGCCAGCGCTCCCATGGGGGCATCGACGTGAAGGTGCCGCCTCCTCCCTAGGGCCTGGATGGTGGGGCCTGAGGGCTGTGGGTGGGGGTAGTCACCATCACCAGCCTGGGGGAGGGGACAGGTTGGGGCAAAGCCAATGATGGTCGGGCAGGAATCACAGTCAGAATCGGGCTGTGGTTGGGGTCACAGCAAAGGTGACAGTGTGGGCTGCGTGCAGTGGCTTACACTTGTAATCCCAGCACTTTGGGAGGCCCAAGGAGGCAGATCACTTGAGGTCAGGAGTTCGAGCCCAGCCTGGCCAACATGGTGAAACCCTACTAATAATACAAAAATTAGTCAGGCGTGGTGGCGGTCACCTGTACTCAGGAGGCTGAGGCATGAGAATTTCTTGAACCGGAGAGGCGGAGGTTGCAGTGAACCAAGACCATGCCACCACACTCCAGCCTGGGTAACAGAGCAGAGTCTCAAAAAAAAAAAAAAAATGACGGTTCAGAATTGAGCTCTGGGGTCAAGGTCAGGGTGGGAGGCTGGGCCCCTGGATTGGGGCAGGCTAGGGCCCCTGCTCAGCTTCGGCTCTGCCCTGTCCCCAGGTGACCAGCATGTCACTGGCCAAGATCCTGAGCCTGCTGGCGGCCAGCGGTCCCACGTGGGACCAGGTGCCCCCGTTCCAGTGGAGCACCTCGCCCTTCAGCACCCTGCTACACATGGGTCAGCCGGACCTCTGGAAGTTCGCGCCCGTTAAGGTCTCATGGGACTGAGGCTCTGTCCTTGCTCCGCTGCTTTGCTCCTGCTGACCTTCAGCAGGGCCATCCCCAGCCCAAGGCCACCAGACCTCCAAACCCAGCACCTTCTGGGGGCTTTATTCCCTAATCTGGGGTCTGAGTCATCTCCGAAGGGTGGAGCATGAACCTGATGGGCTCAGAAGTAACCCCTCTCTCCCCTGAGGCACGTGGGTGCTGCCACGTCGCCTCTGCCTGCTCCCCGCCGTCTCTGTCTCTGTTTCTGTCTGTCTCCTGCTGCTGCTCTCTTGATCTCATTCCCACCTCTGGGGCCCCTTCCTTCTGCTGCTCCTTCCTGAGGGATTGGGAAGGTCCTGGGGTCAGGCTCTGGGGCTCCCATGGGGTGGGAAGAGACTGTTCCAGCCCCCGCCTCCCAGCTGCATTTCCACGGGTGGCCCTGGAATTGGTGAGTTTCAGCCCCAGGACCTGGGCGTTGTCTCCGGCTGGCACTGTTCCTCCCAACTCCGGCCCCTCTGCTCCCTCAGGAAGCAGTCCCCTCGTCTCCCTTTCTGGCAGCTTCCTTGAGGACAGAAACTTGAAAACAAACACAAACCAAAGTTTCTGGCCATCTGCGGCTGGAGGGTCTTGAATGTCCTCCTCTCTCCAGGGCAGGAAGAGGGTCAGCCCCCACCCTTCTGCCTCAGGCCCCCACCCACCCCAGGCCTGCCCCTCACGTCGGGACTGTGTCCATAGCGCTCTGATGGAGGAACCAGACCACAGTCTGTGCCACCGTTAAACAAGAGTGGCTGTGGACCGTGCTGTGCTTCTTGGGGTGGCACGGAAGGCGGGGTCAGCGCTTTTCACCTCTCAGGTTTGGGTTCTGTGCCATCCCCTACGTAGCCTCCTGTGCAGCCCTCTGTCTGTCGTTCTGTTCCTTCACTCATCTGCCAACATACTCACGCATCATCCGTCTGCACAGCCTCCCACCCGCCCCTCCATCTTCCATCCATCCATCCGCCTACCTATTCATTCATCATCCTTCCACCCATCCATCCACCCACCCACCCATCCAGCCAACCATTCAGCCATCTCCATCTGTCCATTTTCTTTTCTTTTCTTTTTTTGAGAGGGTTTTGCTCTTGTTGCCCAGGCTGTGGTGCAGTGGTGTGAGTGTGTCTCACAGCAGCCTCTGCCTCCCGGGTTCAAGCAATTCTCTTGCCTCAGCCTCCCGAGTAGCTGGTATTACAGGCATGCGCCACCACGCCTGGCTAATTTTGTATTTTTAGTAGAGACAGGGTTTCACCATGTTGGTCAGAGTGGTCTCGAACTCCTGATCTCAGGTGGTCTGCTGTCTTGGCCTCCCAAAGTGCTGGGATTACAGGTGTGAGCCACCATGCCTGGTCTCATCTGTCCGTTTTCCATCCACTTATCTGCCCACCCATTTACTCATCTGTCCAGCCATTCACTCATCCATCCACCTATGAGATCAGACAGGGAAGGAGCCTTTTTTGTGTTAGTCTGTACACCACAATATGGCTTAGGAAGTTCTTAACTATCCATTTATCACCCATCCACCCACCCATTCATCCAGCCTCCCATCCAACTGCCTATCCATCCGTCCACCCACCCACCCACCCATTCATCTACCCACTCACCTCCCCACCCATCCACCTACCCATTTGTCACCCATCTACCCATCCACCCATCCAATCACCCGTCCAACCATCTATCCAACCATTCATTCATCTATCCAACCATTTCCGTCTGTTCGTTTTCCATCCATCTACCTATCCACCCATTCACTCATCCATCCACCTACCTATCCATTTATCATCCATCTCCCCATCCATCCATCTACCCACTCACCTATCTATCCATCCAACCATCCAACCATCCATCCATCCATCCATCCATCCATCCATCCATCCATCCAACCATTTCCATCTGTTCATTTTCCATCCTTCTACCCATCTACCCATTCACTCATCCATCCACCTACCTATCCATTTATCATCCATCTCCCCATCCATCCATCTACCCACTCACCTATCTATCCATCCAACCATCCAACCATCCATCCATCCATCCATCCATCCATCCATCCATCCATCCAACCATTTCCATCTGTTCATTTTCCATCCTTCTACCCATCTACCCATTCACTCATCCATCCACCCACTCATCCATCCATCCACCCATTTATCTGCCCACCCACCCATCCATCCACCTATCTATTCATATCACCCATCTACCCATCCATCCACGCACGTATCTGTGCATTTCATATCCATCCCCCTGTTCATCCATATTTATCTATTTTCTATTCGTCAGCCATCCATCCATTCATATCCAACTATTCATCCAGATGTTTATTGAGCACCTATGTTCTGGTCCTGTTTTGGAGCCGTGTTGACCACCAGGACCTTCCTAAGCCATACTGTGTTGTACAGACCAGTACAAAAAAGGCTCGCCCCCTGCCTGATCTCGTGCAGCCTGCTTTGGAGACAAGATTCTACCAGTGTTATGTGCTTCGAGAGAGGAAAGCACACGGCCCTGGAGTCAGAGACCTGGCTTTGAATTCCGTCTCCACTTCTTGCTAGCTAGCTATGGACTCACCCTCTCTGAGCCTTGATTACCTCATCTGTGAAATGGGGTAATGGTGTGAGCAGCATTTCCCTGGGGGATGTGATGCAGCCCATGCGGGGCCTCATGCACTCAGCGCCTCTTCATTAGCAAACACTTATTGAACCGCAGTACATGCCAGGCACTGTTATGAGGTCCCGGGGATACCTTATAACAAAAGGGATGGAAGCGTCCCTGCTCTTGTGAAGTTTACATTGGGGAGATGGTAAATACAGTAAATGAAATCCGCGGTGTGTCAGTGCTGGTAAATGCGCGGAGAGAATAAAGCAAGGCTGGGGTCTGGGGTTGGGTTTGCTTTTTCTCCTCCCTGTAGCTTCACAACCCCTGTTACCTGGGAATTGACTTGTGGTTTCATCTTATTTTTCCTTTTTGTAGAGACAGAGTCTCACTGTGCCACCCAGGCTGGTCTCGAACTCCTGGGCTCAAGTGATCCTCCTACCTCGACCTCTCAAAGTGCTGCAATTACAGTCATGAGCCACTGTGCCCAGCCAACTTGTGGTTTTAAAAACTAACTTTCAGTCAGGTGCAGTGGCTCAAGTCTGTAGTCCCAGCGCTTTGAGAGGCCGAGACAGGTGGATCACGAGGTCAGGAGTTCAAGACCAGCCTGGCCAACATGGTGAAACCCCGTCATTACTAAAGATACAAAAATTAGCTGAGTATGGTGGTGCATGCCTGTAATCCCAGCTACTCGGGAGGCTGAGGCAGGAGAATTGCTTGAACTAGGACCCAGGAGGCGGAGGTTGCAGTGAGCCAAGATCGTGCCACTGCCCTCCAGC